CCGGGTACACCGGGCCACTGTGCAAGGGGGGGTGATTGTCCCAGACACTGCACTGCCCACCCCCACCCCAGTCCCATGCCCACCCCAGAGCCCACCCAGCACCAGGGAGTCCAAGGCTCCTCTCTCCACCCTGGATGCAGCTGCAGCAGGGCAAGCCCCGTGTCATCCCACAGCCATGTAGGGTCTTGCGTGGGGCTGTAGCATCCGGGGCAAATCTCTCATCCTGGTGGGCCACAGCAGGGGCGGTGGGGAGTGAGGGGCACATGTTGAACTGGGGGGAGGGGAGCCCAGGGCAGGGCTGGCAGGGGCTGTGGCTTGGGATTAGGGGCACTGGCTGGGCAGGGGTGGAGCAGCACCCAGTGCCATGTGTTACAAGAGGTGCTAGTTCAGAGCCTTTATACAGGCCCTGCCCACACTGTAAAGGGCACTGGCCAGTGCCAGCGAGACCCACCTGCCATGAGCACTAAATCCCCAGCCCCTTGGATGACCCAGGTGAGAATGGGGATGGGCGGGCGCAGGGACCAGGCAGCCTGTACCTGTTTGCCACAGCTTGCTCCTTGCACTCCTTGACCTCCGCCACCCGCTTCCCATACCTGCAAAGGTGGTCAGAGTGAGCGCTTACTGGCAGGGGAGCCCCCAGCCTGCTGTGAGAGCTCCTCTCCCGTCCCCTCACCCCAGCGCAGCTCAGCCAACCCACCGGACTCCAGAACAGAATTTTCAGTAATATTTTCTTGAAGCCGACGTGTGCCTCAGTTTCCCCAATGCATTGCTATCCCATGGGGAGGATGAGGGATAAGTGTGCTGGCTAAGGGTTAAGGGCTGGCTAAGAGTCGGGGGGTGGGGAAGGCAGGTGCTGTCTAGCTGTCTGAGCCTGAATGGGTGACTACACGGCTGGCTGAGGATGCCCCATCTGGCTGGAAAGTCTGAGGAAGCAGGGGAAAACCCAGCCGCCAGCACAGGGACAGCTGGGCCCAGCGGGAGGAGGAACGCAGCTGGAGACCAGGTCTAGATGGGGGGTGTGGCGAGGGCATGGGAGTCTGGGCTGCAGGAAGGAACCCCTAGCACTGGAGAGGGAGGATGTGAGGAAGTCAGAGAGGGAAACACAAGGCCTGAAAAAGAGGTTCCCCAGGTCCGGGGCTGGCCAGATCAGCCTGTGCTGCCCCTTCTGGTCAGTCCAGTGATGAGCTCCAGGGGCCATAGCTGGAACCGGTGAGGGGTGCCCAGCACATCACAGGAGTCCCTCCAAGGCCTGTCCCAAAGCTGAGATGTGGCACCAATCCTGGGATGCTGAACTAGTCCCATAGAGCTCTCCTTGTCCTTCCCCTCCGACCCCTACCATCCACTTGCCCTGCCAGCTACCCTGCCCTCAGCAGCCACCCTCCGCCCTGTGCTAGCCGCTCGCCCTCCCACACCGGTGTTCCCTGGAAACTGAACACTTGGGTGGCCACCCAGGAGAGATTCAGGTGCAGCCCAGCTGATTAGCTGAGCGCCCACAGCTGCCCAAAGCAGGTAGCATGTGTTTCTATTGGTGGTGAACATCCGCACTTGCCTTGGTGCACGTAACAATGATTATTTTGCCCATGGATGGAAAAAATTAAGAGGAAACACTGCCCCCCCCCACATGCCCCCACCAACTGCTCCTGCCCCTGCCTTTCACCCCACACACACACCTGACTTGCCCCCAGCAGCCATTCTCCATGCATGTGTCAGCTCCCACCCTCACACCCCCAATGTCCCCTGCAGCACCGAAGCCCCCTGCTACCCCGTTACCCTTTCAGGCTGCCAAAGAGCTCCTCGGAGACCTTGTGGATCTGTAGGGCTTCATCCCGGATGAGGGTGATGTAGAGCGAGCCCTTCAGGCCCAGCCTCCACAGCTCCAGGCACTGTGGGCCAGAGCTCAGGCAGCCGTGGCACAGCAGGAAGCCGACTGCAGGGAGGGGCAGAGGGGAGGACATTAGCAGGAGCCTTCCAGCAGAACTAGGGCAACCAAAATGATGAGGGGCTGGAGCACATGGCCTATGAGGAGAGGCTGAGGGATTTGGGCTTATTTAGCCTGCAGAAGCGAAGAGAGAGGGGGGATTTGAGAGCAGCCTTCAGCTCCTATCAGCAGTATGGCAGGTGACCAGCTTGACTTAGCTGGGAAATCCTTGGTGAGCTTAAAAACAGAAAGGAAGCTTATAAGACGTGGAAACTTGAACAGGTGACTAGGGAGAAGTATAAATGTATTGCTCCAGAATACAGGGGAGTAATCAGGAAGGCGAAAGCACAATTGGAATTGCAGCTAGCAAGGGATGTGAAGGGGAACAAGAAAGGTTTCTACAGGGTGATCCGAGAGGGTGTGGGGCCCTTACTGGATGAGGGAGGTAACCTAGTGACAGATGATGTGGGAAAAGCTGACGTACTCAATGGTTTTTTTGCCTCTGTCTTCACAGACAAGGTCAGCTCCCAGACTGCTGCACTAGACAACGCAGTGTGGGAAGGAGGTGGGCAGCCCTCGGTGGACAAAGAACAGGTTAAGAACTATTTCGAAAAGCTAGACATGCACAAATTCATGGGCCCGGATTTAATGCATCCGAGGGTACTGAGGGAGTTGGCAAATGTCATTGCAGAGCCTTTGGCCATTACCTTTGAAAACTCATGGAGATTGGGAGAGATCCCAGATGATTGGAAAAAGGCAAATGCAGTGCCCGCCTTTTAAAAAGGGAAGAAGGACAATCCAGGGAACTACAGACCAGTCAGCCTCACCTCAGTCCCTGGAAAAATCATGGCAGGGATCCTCAAGGAATCCATTTTCAAGCACTTGGAAGCAGGGAAAGTGATCAGAAATAGTCAATATGGATTCACCAAGGGCAAGTCGTGCCTGACCACTCTGATTAGCTCCTGTGATGAGGTAACTGGCTCTGTGGACGTGGCAAAGTCAGTGGCTGGGATATACCTTGACTCTAGCAGAGCTTTGATACAGTCTCCCACAATATTCTTGCCAGCAAGTTAAGGAAGTCTGGATTGGATAGATGGATTGTAAGGTGGATAGAAAGCTGGCAAGATTGTTGGGCCCAACGGGTAGTGATCATTGGCTCGATGGACCAGGCAGGTGCCGAGGTGAGTCATACCCTTCCCTGCCAACTGCCCGCCCATCACACGAGGGGCCTTATACTATGAAAACACCTGCTGGTGACTCCCTGGACAAGGCATTATCATCTGGAGAGAAAGAGACCCCCGAGGCAGAAGAGGGAGGCCCATTAATATCAGTATGGAGACGTTCCCTTGGAGTCTATAGCTGTGTGGATGGATGGGTAGAGATAGGTGGATCTCAGGAGGTGGGGATGGGTGTATACGGGCAGGATAGAGTGGAGGGAGGGGTCTATATGGGGCTGGATGGGGGGATGCCAAGAGCAGGCAGGGATTCCCATGGGCATCACTGGAAGATGCAACCCTCCCCTGCTACATCCGGAGGCCGTGGGGTCTGTGCCAGGCCCAGCCATGGCCCGGAGGGTCCTTCCACCAGGTGGGGTATGACTCACTCAGTATCCAGCGCTCCATCACCTCCAGCGACAGGTACTCGCAGGCCATCTGGGGAGAGGGAGGAGCAGTCTTGCCACCAGGAACAAGAGCTGCTATCCTGGCTCTCAGCCCTGACC